CCGCGAAACTCCAGGATCAACTTTCCGCAGCCCAAACTCAGCAGCAACAGCTGATCCTGGAGCGCGATCGCGGCTTGTCGGAGCGCGATTTGGCACGTCGACGACTGGCGCTGGTGACAGCTGCCGTCTCGGATCCACTTCCTCCCTTGTCGGGGCCCTCTCAGGCTGCTAGCGTTTCTGCTCCTCTTCCGACGGTAAGTGGGGCGGATTCGTCGACTGCGAAACGCCCGCGTAGTACATCTCCCGCTCCTAGCACCGGATCCTCCCGTCCCCATAAGCAGGCCCGAGCTTCCCCGAAAGTCAAGCCCAAAACGACTCCGGTTTCTAAATCTGCTCCGCAAGCGGGATCCACTTCTGTGTCCAAGGCAGGATCTACACCCGCGCCCAAGACTTCCGTTTCTCCCTCGAAGTCAGGTGCCGGATCCAAGTCTGGATCCACCGCTAGATCCAAGTCTACCTCGGCGTCCAAGACTGGATCTACCACTACGTCCAAGTCTGGCTCCGGACCCCAGACTGGGTCTACGGCGTCCAAGACTGGACCCGTTGCTACGTCCAAAACGGGATCGACGGTGTCCAAGTCCGGATCGACGGCCAAAACGGGATCTACGGCCGTATCCAAACCGGGATCGACGTCCAAGACGGGATCCACCGCTGCTGCGTCAAAATCTGGATCCGGACCCAAGACTGGGTCTACGACTTCCAAGACTGGGTCTATGGCCGTATCCAAACCGGGATCGACGTCCAAGACGGGATCCACCGCTGGTCCTTCGGTGACGACGCCCGCCGTTCCTCAGTCCGCTTCCACCAACCCTCCGCCGGCCCGTACTGGACCCGGGAAGGGGAAAGCTAAACGCGTCATTCCCCCTGGGTGTGGACTGGGTAGTTCGGAGGACGATGAGGATGAGGAATCTGACTGGTCCGACGGCTCAGGGCCTCCTGACCGATCGTCGTCAAAGCGTACGCCGTCTTCCGGCCCGTATCCCTTCACTCTGAGCGATGACGACGATGACGACGACGACGATGACGACGAGAGTCCAGAGGATTCGGAGGAGGCTCGAACCGCTGAGGAGGCCTTGGAGGAAGACACGCGGCGGGCTCTATCCCAATCAAAATCCGAAGCCCGGCGGAGATCCCTCTCGACGCCGCCTCCACAAGTCGCG